TATAATGCTATAATCTATGTGCTGTTGAACAAACAGGTTTGTTCTTTCTGTTTGTTTCCACTATATGCTTTCAGTTTTTTTACGTGATTTAAGTTGTTCTTCTTGGCTTGTTTTTTTAGTTCCGTAACTGCATGCTGACCACTCTGGGAATGGGTGGGATGGTTGAGGATGAGACATCAGTTTCAACAAGCAAGACAGAAGTATCAACTGTTGCTTAAGGATTACGTCTTTGTATCACGTCTTCTTTTCCCGCATGATTGGATTCCAAATTTGAGTATTTAATAATGTCTTGAACTTTTGCCAAATGAACCACTGATTTTCAAACTTCACCAAGCATAATAATGACTTCCTTTTGACATGCACAATTGTGTAAACTGACAAGTGTAAATTTAAATCGGAAGTTAACTTGAACTGCACTTCCGGGAACGTGTGTGAGTGGAGTTGAGAGTGTGCTAGTGTTTAAACAAGCTCAACTGTAAAGACACACATCAAACCTCTAAACAACCAATACATTTTATTTTCAGGCTATTTGGTAATCATGCAGCACTGTTCAAACAGTGGCATATTTTGTATGTATTTTATGAACAACAAATAAAACTGTATAGTGTGAAATATATAATAAATGCTTGCATGAAAATAATAGTGCTTGTGTGGTTATTTAATTGATAAATTATCCTGAAAATATTACTATGTTTTAAATCAGAAATTTTCACAGTCTGCCCAACACGAACAAGTATTTGGATTTATACCAAAAACAGAAACGTTTTTAAACACACGCCAAATTCAAATATTAATCAAGATTGACATTAAAAGAGAAGAATAAATAAAATGCCATGATGCTCTCATTTAAGGATTCTAAACCACAACTAACCATCAGAGCTTGAATCAGTACAAGTCATGGTGCATGTGGGTTATTACATTTCTTCTTTTAAGTTCCACTTTAAGAGTGGTTATATAAAATGTAATACTGAACCCCCAAGACTGAGATGAAACGGTTTGTACATCACACGGTTCATGTACACAGTTGTTACACCCTTGTCAGGCCGCCAGTCCATTTCAGGGTCACACAAATGCATACAACACAATCAGCCATCCAGACTCTCACACCAGAGTCTGAGCAAAGATTCATATCCAGACTAATAGCAGATTAATATCCATGTCCCTTTGCCTTTGAAATGAATGAAATTCTGACAGAGATTATTGATAAGCACAAGAAATCTAAAAAAAAAACTATTTGTGGTTTTGTGGCATCTTGCTGGTTCAATTGAAAAATTGTAAGTGATAACATTTCATGTGCAGTCATTGTAAAAAAAAAAGGCAGTATAACCTGTTTTCGTTTTACATTTTCTGCGCTATACTACCCCCATGAGGCAAGGCTGATAATGTGCACTCATGCAAAGTACATGCAATACAATTACAGTGAGATTTATAATGACATTTATTTATATTAAAATACAAATGAAAACAGGAATAAAAGGTATTGAGGCTATGCAATATCATATATTATAATATTTCTCCAAATTTTCTTTACAGAAATGCTTTGTGTAAGAGTTTTAAATTGATGTCAAAAAGCTGCAAAAAAATATTGAACCAATATCCCCAGCAACCCTTAAAGCATATAATATGTCTCATTCTGTGCTCTATTTAAAAGAGAAAGTCAAGGCTGTTTGCATGGACAAAGAAAGAGTTTCACTCCAATCCGTTCCATAATATGTCTCAAGAGGTTTAATTACTACTAAACATATGCTTTATCCAACCAAAGGGGCCATCTATGTCATGGTGTAACCCTTTATTTCCAGTTGATAACACCAACCTACTTGTCATGCTATGGGCACATGGCCTGTAATTTTCTTCAAAGAGCCTGCTTTGGACACCTGCATGTGCTTAGTCTCTCTGTCAGGGGGCTAGATGAGGCAGGCGGTGCCTCTCTTTGTTGTAATTGCTCAGATCAGGTAGGAGGGGCTGCATGCAGAGATCTTAATAACAAACTCAGGGATGCACCAACAGAATATCCAAGCAGAGACTAGAAGATGACATCATGTTCACCGGTTCAAAAAAGTGTTAAAAGATTTTTCTCCATTTTTGCACAAAGTTAAAGATAATATAGTAACAATAAGTATTATGATATTTGAATTTATTTGTACATTTTTTATGTTTCAAAATAAGAAAAAAAAAATGGATCCAAAGCAAAACCCTAAAGAAGCTGCATGACCCATCCATAGCCCTTGTGTTTAAGTAGCAGTTATGCAAATTCTGAGTTTGCTCACACATTTCAAAGTAATTAGGTCAGGGCTTTGTGAGAACCATGAAAAACATTTCTGCTCACATCTCTTTTGATGATTCATTATTGATTTCAAGTGTGCTTACGTTCTATGCATGAGGTCATGCCCATCATTTTTGCCTATTGATTTCATTTGGCTTACTGAGTCATTCATCACCCCGTCTGGCAGCTCCTCTCCCACTTAACAGCTTGATGGGTTCTTTCCATGAAATTCTGCAACCACCCTCTTCTAAAGGGGTGTCCAATTCTTTTCTTTGTTAAGGTATTTTATTCACATTTCATATGCATTCAAATATGTATTAAAGAGTGCCTTGACAGTGTTTTTTCAGTATAATGGACTATTTACTAAATAAATATTGTAAAAGGCAAACAGAAAGTAACATCATTGTAAAATGTAACCAAGGCAACCAGCAAAAGGCCTCCACAGTAATGACTGTTGTGTTTTAAAAATAATCTATTTGAGACCTAACATAATTTTGTTCTGCCTATAATTGAAATAAGGTTATCATCTAAACCAAACCAAGTCACAAACATGCATTCATAATTTATTTCCATACTTAGTAGATAGCAGAACATGTGGTCTAAATGTCACATTACACAAAGGCCCCTGGTTGAAGGCTGTGACAGCTTTACTGCTCCATCTACCAGCCCCTCCTTCCTCCTTGTGAGAACTTAGTGGCACCTTAAACAAGACTTGGGAAGGACATGTACTCATATGGAAATGCTCGTATGACTCATATTTTCTACATGCATCTTGTAGGGACAGCAAAAAAACAGGACACCATTAAACAAATGCAATCTTTACTTTAGGAGGAAGTATCTTTTTCAAGTCAATCTGTTTTCAAATCTATGCTGAAGTATTAGCCCTTTTTTAAAGTGCTGATCAAGATATGACTCTGACTTCAAAAGGTATGATTCAGGCACATGAAGACCGACATGTTGTGTCCATGCTACTTCTTATGCCATTTTGTCTTCACTGATTTGTCAGGTTTGGTGTCAACGTTAATGTAAACCATTTCCATTGTCTGAAATCTTTTTGGGTGAAATATTTTAGAAACTCAACTGGGAAACTTTGCAGCGAGGCAATGAAATCAAAGGATATGTCAGCAAACTAGACTCCACAAGGGTCAAAGATATTGGTAACAGTTACTTGAAGGATAAGAAGACTTATTGATCAATTGACCCCTTGTTGTAGCCCTTGTTGCAAGTCAAGTCTTTTTCTGGTAGCAAAAGTGACAGATGGACCTCAGTGATAGATTTCAAACAGCCGTTTGTGATTGTCAGCATGTAAGTGGTTTTACGCTTCGCTAGGTATTACTTTAATCGTCCTTAACAGGATGAAAGGGATATTATTAGGTATCAGTCCTTTGTCTGCAGTTGAGATAATCTTGATACACAAACAGAAAATTCCTTTAACATATGTTGGTATCTCCACAAGATTCAATAGTCTTCCCAGACTTTTTTTCGACAACGTAAAGAGACGTACATCTATCTGTGAGAAGAAAACAAAACCAAACGAAACATACCAGGTGAACACACTCATTTGTATTCAGCCACTTGTTTGTTTTGTTCATACTGTCGAGGGTCTGACTGAAATGTAGGCTTTTTAAACCCATACAGTGCCTTGGTATAGTGATGAATTTAGCCTCAGTTTCTTCTGATTTTAAAAGAGGTATAAAGAATAAAAAACGCTACATGAATCACCATAAGCTTTTCGTAAAGATTATTTTGAAAAAATGTATTTGAACTTATGATCACTTAAAATGGCACAGACATCACAAACCACTGAAGCTGAAAGAAATGGAGCAAAAAAGGCCAGTTTAACATATCGAACAATATAGATCTTTGACATCTGGTGATAGGATCTGACATTTTTTTTTTTTCAATATGTGACCTATGGGGCCCATTTCATCAGTTCTTCATAAATTTCCTCATGGCTAGTACCATAGTAACATAGTATATATATATATACTATGAGTTATGCTTTGAAGCAGAAGTTGACACAGTTGACACAAATAATCACAAGATTATTGATAACTAGTAAAAAAGAATCAAATACACTTAAACTGTATAGTAATAAGAATATCGTGAAATACAATGTTAATCACAAAACGAGTTAACTATAATGGAACATCTGTCAAAAAAAACACACACACAGGTTCATTTTTCTTCCCTGATTCTTTAACTTTCACATGATTTACTTCACTCAGTACGACAGCTCAAAAGAATAAACCTTGAGTGTTTCAGTATTCACATTACAGGTCAATTTAAAAACTTGTTTATCACAAATGCAACAGATGTTCAAATATTCCAAATTTGTATGCCTCCAAAATACAGTCAAATAAAAACAGCCAATAGTTTATACTGTAATATGTTAGCAAACAGCTATGCCGTATAAGTAACCTGTTTAAATGTTTCTATGTAGATATTGTAAATGTTAAACGTAAATCTTTGCGGTTCCACCACAAGGCAATTATTGATACAAGTGATATGATCTAATTTACTACGCTCTCCTATTTAATGAATGTGCTATTTTGAATGTGAGCCTGTTCAAATTTTTAAATCAATGATAGGCAATAGAACTGTTCTCATCTCAGAAACCTGCAGATGATTTTGGAAGATTGCTGTGACCAAACTGCCTTACATTTTTTTCAGTGTAGTGTTGTGTTGTTGTTTAAATAGTTTTAATTGTGTTCTGTGGTTTACCATTTTGAACGTACAATACTTAAGTGGACTATATACATGATGTGGACATTTTGACACCTAGTTACATCTCATTGACAAAAATCGTGGGTCCTTGAGTTACCACGTTATTCTCTCTTTCATTAAGACCATTTTTTCCAAGATATGTTTGAGGTAAGCTAAATCTCACTTGCGACTGATTAATACTGGCTTGTCTCTGGACCTGTTTACTGAAATCCCCGCTTGGCTGATTGAAACTGTCTCCTCTATAGGGACCAAAACTTTCCTCTGGCTGGTCGAAGCTGCTCTCGCTGTAAAGTCGTTGTCGCATTTCACTCGAACGTTTCCCAGAAGCGCTCCTAGTCGGGTATCTCTGACCAGTCTTGTACCAACCTGTCTCTTTGAAGACAAACCAAATATTCCCAGACCAGAGGACAAGATTAACAAAACCAAAAACCTGTAGGTTAAAAAAAGGGACGGTGTAAGTGGGTTGTTTCACGCAGACAGGGGATGATTTGATAATTGAACACCTACAGCTGACGTATGAAGACGAGACCAGAGAGGCTCCTGTGTGGCTGCACATCTGTTTTCCCGAGCTCTACAGGCAGCGATGAGAAGAAGCACTTGTGTTGGGTTTGTAGCCGTCTTGATTTCGGAGAGAGCTTTTGCCCAACAACAACTGCTGACCAGCCACACGAGGGAAAAGATGACAGTAACAACAAAATCCTGCTCAGGGTAAAAAACAAGAGAGGGAGAAAGCCACAACAGCACTGGATGATTAATTAAATGCTCTTCCTGTCAGAAATCGGCACTGGGTGCCTGTTTTAAACATGGACATTGGGACAGGAATTGTTAGCTAAATTAAAAATCACGAACCACAAGAGGCCCTCTGTTGTTCTTCCGGTACTTGTTCTGGTAAAAGACGTAGACAACCGTTGCCAGCAGTGAGTAAAGAAAAGCAAAGACTCCAACCGTCACAAAAAACTGAGCGGCAGTGGAGAAGTCACCGTCCAGGAAAACAACCTCTTCCCTCCTTGTCTCACACAAAGGAGCCTTGAAGTGCACTTGCTGTAATCTGCGTGAAAAAATGATAAGGTTTAAACTGAGACGACACAAATCAGCTTTGATAAACTTATGTGGAGGGAACATGTCACTTTGGCATATATATATATACACACACAATAAATTCTTGTCCATGGACCTAGAAATGTGTTTGTGGCAGCAGTATAACACTGAGGCCACTGCGGATTGACCCTGGCCTGGTGTGGCAGGTGTGGCTGCTGCTCGACAGGATCAACATTTTTTTTTTCCACCTGAATAATCTGCTCTGGGAAAGCGAGACAAATCTGTGGCATGGGGTCATCACAACCCTTGTCTTGTGTTCGAAATTCTGACTTAACCAAAAAAGTGATCCCTGTTGCAAACATGATACGATTGTTGAATCTTATTCTGCAATCAATTTGCAGAATAAGATTCAACTAATCAATTTGCGATTAGTTTTTAATTATTGAGCCTTTAAAAAAAAAACTTTGTTGGTGAGCCCCTCCCAGTACAGTGATTTAATTATTCAGTAATCCTTCAGTGGTGACAGTGGTGGGGGTCCAATTGTTTCTCATCTCCGGTTGAGTATTTGCTTGTGATAAATAAATGATTAATTATTAAAAGAATTATGCATCCAAAAAATAGATTACAGGGACATTTATGACATCATGAGCTTCTGCTGCAGTTTTCTTAAATCTAGTCAAACGAAGAACATTTTATTGATGTTGCTATTTTTGTTAATGTTATGAAGAACATTTATTTGATGTTGATATTTTGATCAAGTCAAGAAATTGCATTAATCTCTGGACTAAAATAAATGCTCCCGTAAGAGAGCCGCCAGAGTCATCACCTGCGGGGATGTCTTGACTGAGTGGAGGGAAACATTAAAGTATCAAAGTGGGTCGGCTTCCTGCTTGGCAGACCAGCAGCCTAATTTTAAATTGGCAGAGTTTCCGGAGTAAAAAGCTCTTTTATTCTGAGCCTGACAACATGATGAACTTGAGCTGTGCAACTTCTGAACTCTCTATTTAAAATATGTAGCGATGATAAGCATAGATGAGTTGGTAACTTTTTTTTACAATTCAATTAGTCTTCACACTTATCAGCTGAGATAAAAGATAATTTATAGTGGCTCCTCGTTGTTTCAACTACTTGGCTATTTGCATGAATATGATGTCACTGAAAACATGAAATACTGCTTTACCTGAAAGGATAACCAAAGTCGATGTTGATGCTGAGGTTGCCCTGCCTCCTGTCTGCACAGTCCACTTTAACCTGGAGATGACCATAGTACCCTCCACATGTTGCAAATGCACAAATGGCAAAAATCTATATAAAAAAAAAGTGAAGGTTAAAAAAAGTATTGATTAATTTATCTGGATACTTCACAATCATTATATCAGTGTGCGAGGGAAGATTGTTGCATAATGAATGCACATCAATAAATAACATGACTGATTATTAGAGTTTCTAATCAGTTTGGAAAACAAAACCTGAATAATTTAAAAGTAGGAAGATAACTAACAGAGCTGCTCACTGTGCACTGGAGGGAGGCCACAGTCGCACAGTGACATTCAATTTGTGTTTGCAGAATACATCACTGGAGTCTGTCTGCAATTGTCTTTTCACTACCGTCATATTTGTTATTAAAAAAAAAATCTTTATCCGCCATTATTAACTTTAAGATAATATATTAGACACTGAAATATTGTTTTAATACAAGCGACATTTTCCATTTAACAAAGCATAAGAGGAACACACCACAATCACGCCCATTAATCCAGTGATATACATGTCATTTATATTTTAACAAGCCAAAAGAAGCAGAAATCATTGTATTCCAATAGCAAAAATGATAACACTAGAGAAAGAAAACTCACCGGAGCAAATATAACCATACACATTTAAAGATCACAGAGCCCCACGCCACACAATGCCAACAGCTGCAGTCATCAGGTTGAGAAGAAACTAATGCAGACAGGAAAAACATGAGCGACTCATCCAGCTGGGGGGAGGGATCTCAGGAGTTGTGTTGCCCAAGGAGGAGTCTGTCATTCTTCTTATTTTTACATTTAGTCCAAATGTAAATACACACCATTAATAGCTTATTTATTTGTGTAAGACTGAACTTATGAATTTCTTTTCTATTCACTTTAGTCTTTTTTAAGGAATACTTTCAGAGCTTTGTTCCAAAAATATCTGTTCCAAAACAAGGCCGCGGTACTAACATGAAACAAATCTAATATCTGGGGAATTCATGACCCATCATATCTATTATTTATTGGGTGTCAGACCTAATTCGGGAAGGTGCTAAGTTTAAAAAAAAAAAAAAAGCTGCAGTTAATTATTGTGTCAGACTGTTTTTGATAACATTTTGTGAAATAGTTTTTGGAAAAATCACGAACAAGTCTTCCATTTTTAGTCTAGATTGCTGCTGGTTAAAAATCTAGAGAAGACAAGTCAACTTACTGTTGACTTTGTGTGGTCTTCATTACAAACATTTACATATGTCAATATAAATAATATTATTTTATTTCACTGTAATAATCCACTTTATACATTGAATATATGTTGTTGTAGTCTAAATAAAGGCATACAGTTTAAATACAATCAAGAATCAGAGAGGAGTAAACCATCAACATAAATGAAGTTCTTTGCTGACCTCTTTTGGTGAAAAATCTGCATTACAGATTCCTTTTCGAATTGTGAAAATTTGCAGCCTAGATTTCTGGTTACATAACAGGTGATGCTGCAGACACCTCCCCACCTTATAAGACTGCGCCAGACAAAAATATTCCAGGCCCATTATGTACATTAATTTTGATCTAGGTTTTGTAATGCAATGCAGTTAAATCAAATAGTTGACATATATGTGACATAGATAACAGCTGTCTATAAAAAACTGAAATGCTGCTGAGTGCTTCATTTAACAAAACATCATTTTGCTGTTAATGGTGTAATAGCAGGTCACGCTGTGTTGGCAGGCTACACTGAAAAATCACACAAAGGAGTATACGCCGTTAGATCACTGAGTGCTGATCGACGGATCAAGAGTTTAGCAGCAAGTGAGAATTAATGTGAAAAATTTCACAAAGACTTTTCAGGAAGTTACTGACAGTCAGACAGACGGCATGAAGAGTATTCTAAGATCCATTTGTAAAATCTGGAGGCTGTCAGAAACATTAAAACCCACATACAAAGAGAGGTTGGTGTGGAAGTCTTAATAGAGAGAGAGAGAGAACCCATCTGTGGTGTGTTCTAAAATAAAAAAGTCTGCTTTTCTTTGTCATTTTTAGATGAAAAGACTAAATTAGACTAATATGCAAATGTGTAATCCATATGAAAAATGCTAATTCTGAAATTATGACTGAAAGCATGAGATAAAATTATTCCATTTTCGAGCAGAGAGCTGTAATACATACAAATATCCAAATCTTGTGTTGAAATGTATTCAAAGCACTATGTAGAACCGTCCTTGTTACTGTAAATATCTCCATAAAACCTGGATTTCACCGGGTCAAATGTATGATGTTAGTGTGTCAATATTTGTTCTTACAGCTGCTCAGCGCCTAGCTAATATAAGATGTTTCAGAATTTTTTTCCAGAAGATTGTTCAGAAACATCAAAACCATTTGCGTCATGTCCTCAAAACACAGTGTGAGAGAGGGTGTGTGTTTGATCTGTATCAGTCTATTGTTGAGAGGCATGTGTGGACTTAAATCCCAGAATCTAGGATTTTCCAGCATAAAATTCATATGAATTTTTATTCTTGTTTATTAGGGGTGTAGTAGGCATTTACGATGTACATAAAGCACAGTTATTAAGCAGTTTTTCTGTAAAATGTTCAAAATGCTGAAATGTTGTGATACAGCAGAAGAGGGTTTATGATGACAAAGCCTGCTGTAATTAAGTTAAATTCTTTGTTTATATCACTTAGCATGAGTAGCTGTCAATCGATGATTTTCAGGAGTGCAAACCTGCCAGTATTTCATTGAGTGAATTGAAAGGCCTCAGTGATGACAACATCCTGCAGCACAGAGTGAGTGATGCTTGGAGGAGTAGTCAAACACTTTGTTGCCTGTAGCAACATGTGCTGACAGCTCCCTTGCAGTTTTACAGCTCCATCCAGTCTTTTGTTAGATATATAGCCCAAAAGAAACTGTAAAAATACAAAAACACCCCCTGCCCCCTTAAAATGGTTATAAATTGGTTATTTAAAAAAAAAACCCATAAAGCTCATCAGACCATTTAGGTGTTGTTATCTGATTAAAGACCATTGTCATTGCTGGATGATGTGTCATCACACTCAACTGTCTGTAGGGAAATATGCGAGAGAGGGGAGCCTTTTTAGCTTTGAAATAAAAGGTACTTCAACTGCCAGCATGCTTTACGGTATATTACGTTCAGTTGTACGTTTTTAGGGATGCTGCTGTTTAAATGGGCCTATCCTGTGATCCTTTCACATCTCATCAGGTTAGCAACAGCTCTACCATTTCAAGATGTGTTGATGTTTTCCTGAAAGAAAATGACAAAGGAGAGATTTGAACAGCAATGGGAGGTTTTTCATTTAGCTGCATCCATATTAGCCCCCAGGTCTTTTGTTTATGACAACATATTGCTTCTGTGTATTTGTGGGAAAATGGTTTTGACTCTGTGGTTTGATTGGGTGTTCAGTGATTTGTGACTTTTGTCTTTTTGTGGGGGTGTGTTACGTGATAATAAATAAATTTACATTTGAACCTTGCAGAAAAGCTTCAATATCAAGCCATCAAAGGTAATACTCGCAGTTTTGTTATGACAGGTCTAATTAAGGCCTGACACTTTTATGTTACTGAGGTAGCAGTCTGCCATTAACGTGTACAGCAGCTTGGTCAATCCACATTTTAACCCAGACAGAGCGTTTTGTCACTCTCACCAGAAGGTGCCAATAAATCCTGTCTGACATTCAGGTCTTTCAGTAAAATATATCTCCATATGTCGTCATACAATGTAGAAAACACCATGTTCCTGCTGAGCATGTGTCACAGCACTTGTGATACAGTAAGCTTTTGTTCCTGTGGTTTCTCCTTCATAGCTGGGAGGTAATGAGAAAACTAATACCCAATGAGACCTTAGGCCAATTCATTTTGATTCTAGAGATTCTAATGGCCAGCTGTCTTCAAGTATTCCTACTGATGTGTTTAATTCACATACAGTTGGACACCTACAGGTATATATTAGCATCCAGGCATTAGGATATGTTCCAGTATGTGTGTGATACCATGATAGTTAAATTTGAGCTTCTTTTGTCAAAACACAATATCTCTTTTCATCCATGATGTAACTCAATTAAAAGGAAAGACTGATCGTTTTAATCCTAATAAAAACGAAAGAAAGAAAACTACAAAGATTTCATTTTTATAACTGGTTATTGAAAGTCAACATGGCAGATGCCATTTACTCATTCAACCAGCAGACGGCACTACTTAGCTGTTGTAGTTCAGATGAAAATCTATTACCTGCAGTGATTAGCTCTACCTTCCCTCTCGGAGCATTTGATCTTTTTCCTCTCTGCAAAATTCATCATACAAATGTGTCTGCTGCATGCACAGAAAGATAAATATCCTGCGATTCATTGTATGTTGCCTGCACTCTGGAGGAATTGTATAGTGCAGATGGAGAAAAGTCTGTGCTGGTCTGACAGTTGTGGGTTTTTTCGTCATGTTAAAGTGGTGAAGTTCCAGCCTCTCGCTGCATTTATTATTAATGAATCTTTTTCTGGCATCATCTCCCCTCTCTATCCTGATAACTCTTGGGGGAAAATATGAGCATAAATCTGGTAGTTGTCTTGTAGTGTAGTCTCACAGATTAGCAAAGAAAACATAATGTCCAGTGTATTTTTGCAAAAGACTTTATAAACCTGAAAAATGAAAACGTGTACTCTGAACACATTTTAAGATATAAACAATTTATGACCGAAAATGAACAAAAGACAAACAAACATTAGCCTGTGTTCTGCCTTTTGTCATATTTGATGTAAACTGCGCTGTCAATAAACACAAAGGGAAAGAAAACCTTCTTAATGGAAGTCTGTATGTGTTTTGCAGGTGGTGTTCCATGTCAAATTGACTGCAGGCTAAATGTCATTAAGGAAATATGAGAACATTAGAATAACATCTTCCATTTTTTACCATGGTGGGTTGGGGATGGGGGTGTAAGACTGCATTATGTAAAAGGATTTGTAGATTGTAATTTCTACATGACACATTTCTACTGAAAGTCATTTAGAAACCCATCTCTGACATAAATTCCTTGTCTTCTATGCATCTTGGCAATTTTGCATGACTGAAAAAAAGACAGTTTTACTGTCAACATTTTAAAATGACAAATTATTTGGGTGTGAACAGATTCCTTGTGAGAGTGTTGAGCATCATCTATAGCTGGGTGGAAAGTCCTTTCCAAGACAGCTATAATAGCTGCATTGCTGACACTGACCTTATTCCATCAATCTCACATTAAAAGGCTTCCAGCAGTTAAATATTTCAAAGAGCTCCTCAGTTAACTCCAGAGAAGCTGAGCCTCTCAGTTCCTCTAAAAAACACTCTTAAAAAGAAATGCAGTTTAACTTGAAGCATTTGACTCAACACCAAACTGGTGATGATACCAAGGAATATGGACGTGGCTGACTTTATTAAATAGGATACATGTTTAGTTGCTATAAAAAGGAATAAATAAATATTCAAACATTTCTCGTATGACATTTTTTACTTGCTTTGCTTTGTATATAAATGATAGCTTGCATGGATTGTCAAAGCGGGGGAAGGGATAATTACATGGTCACACAGGGATGTTTCGTCTGTGTCTGCTGCATCACTTCATGCTTTACATATTTTGTATGTATCAGCCCTCTAAAGACCGTCCAATGACAGCATGCAAAAGACTTAGATATGTGTTAAATCCCAAAACACAACTCAAAAGTGTTTTCTTACATTTGTATGGTTAAGATTTCTCCTCATTTGAATTCAGTTTTGGTTTTTCACCATTTTATATTTTATATATTTCAGCACCAGAGC